TACTCGTACCCTCCGCCACGGACGACCCCATACTCGTACCCTCCACCACGGACGACCCCTACTGGTACCCTCCACCACTGACGACCCCTACTGGTACCCTCCACCACTGACGACCCCTACTGGTACCCTCCACCAAGGACGACCCCTACTGGTACCCTCCACCACGGACGACCCCTACTGGTACCCTCCACCACGGACGACCCCTACTGGTACCCTCCACCACGGACGACCCCTACTGGTACCCTCCACCACGGACGACCCCTACTGGTACCCTCCACCACGGACGACCCCTACTGGTACCCTCCACCACGGACGACCCCTACTGGTACCCTCCACCACGGACGACCCCTACTGGTACCCTCCACCACGGACGACCCCTACTGGTACCCTCCACCACGGACGACCCCAACTGGTACCCTCCACCACGGACGACCCCTACTGGTACCCTCCACCACGGACGACCCCTACTGGTACCCTCCAAAACGGACGACCCTTACTGGTACCCTCCACCACGGACGACCCCTACTGGTACCCTCCACCACGGATGACCCCTACTGGTACCCTCCCACCACGGATGACCCCTACTGGTACCCTCCCACCACGGACGACCCCTACTGGTACCCTCCCACCACGGACGACTCCTACTGGTTCCCTCCCACCACGGACGACCCCTACTGGTACCCTTCCACCACGGACGACCCCATACTCGTACCCTCCACCACGGACGACCCCATACTCGTACCCTCCGCCACGGACGACCCCATACTCTTTCCCTCCACCACGGACGACCCCATACTCGTACCCCGCCAATGATGAAGACAAAAATACCCAACAATAATCCAGTAAACACGAGGACCGTCCCGAAGCCACGCAGGCAAGGTATAGGCGGTGGTAATAGGTTCACTAATGAGAGACCGAGAAATTGGTTGTTCGTTGGAGCGTAACCCCGTGATGCTGCTTCTCCCCATTCCTTCTGAATTTTCTCCATGAATGTATAGGTGAGTGGCTAGGGCGCCGCCTGACGTGGGCGGCCGTGCTGGGTGGCATTGCTGCCGCCCACGTGTTGATAGGTGCCCGTGGGTGGTGGCGATGTAACTATTTATATTATTAAATTGTTGGATGTACAACTACTTAAATAATGGCTTGGTTATTTAACTACTTAAAATAGACAAGGTGGAGTTTGCCTGCAAAGTCATTTCTTGATCATTTAGACTCTTAATATTTAATTAAAATTGGTGGAAGATTGGGAGGTCTTGCGGGTTTTGCGAGATCACTAACGGACTGGGGGGCCGGGCAAGGATTAGGAAGACAGGTAGATTGAGAATTGGTAGATCATTCAAGGATTGAGAGATCTGATGAGGATTGAGAGTTCATTGAAAGAACTTTCAGAGTGACCTCTTTCTTTCTTACTTTGGAAGAAAGAAAGAGGTCACGATGTAACATTCTTTTAATGATATTCTCTATATTTCCTCCAAATCTCTCTACTATTCTTCAATTTCCACCACATCCCCCCCTTTATCTCTTAACCTTATGTTCCTCCATCTCCATCTCTCTCTCTCTCTCTCTCTCTCTCTCTCTCTCTCTCTCTCTCTCTCTCTCTCTCTCTCTCTCTCTCTCTCACGCTGGCAACGTTAATAACTAATATACATTGCAGGACGTGTGGGAGAGGCCAGGCTGGAGAAACTGCAGCATACGTGAAAGCGAACACCTTGGAGGAAGTGACGACCCAGGACAGTGGCGAAGACGACCTCCAGGAACCTGCATATCCTCGCGGTGGTGGTACCGTCGTGTGAGGACGACTGAGAGTCCCAGTTGATCATAATAAGGGGCATTCATGCCAACACAATTTTTATTTTACACGTGCACCCGGTGTAATGTGTACTCGCCTAACTATATTGGCCTAGTTGTGCTTGCGGGAGAGGAGTTTCGGCTCTTTGGCCCCGCCTTTGAACTGTCAATTAACTGGTGTACAGGTTCCTGAGGCTACTGGGCTCTATCATATATACATTTGATGCAGGCGATGAGTCACAATAACGTGGCTAAAGTATGTTGACCAGACCACACACTAGAAGGTGAAGGGACGACGACGTTTCGGTCCGTCCTGGACCATTCTTAAGTCGGTTGTGATCGACTTGACACGAACTGCTTCCTCAATTCATTCTCAAGTCGATCACAATCGACTTGAGAATGGTCCAGGACGGACCGAAACGTCGTCGTCCCTTCACCTTCTAGTCTGTGGTCTGGCTAGCACCATGAATGATTTCATTTCATTTAACAGGGTTTTAGGAGGGTCGATTAACCTCCTAACGCCACCTAACCTTACTTGATTAGGTTAGGTGGCGTTAGACCAGTTTGCGTTAAGTTAGATTGGCAGAGGTGAGGTTTTATAAACCAACAGCGAACCGTCTTGTGTATTATGTGGCCCGTATCATACCACATCTCTCAAAGTGACAATGGTAGCACGGTTTCCCCCTGGACCCCATTACCCGTGAAATGTTTGTACTGCGACGCACACGGAGAAGAGTATTTAAGGCTGATTCCCTGTGTTTTGCTCACAAACCGAGACGCGACAAGCGATGATCGCCTGCATAACAGCATCGTTGCTGTAGGAGAATTTCCTGATAAAGTACGCGTCTGAAGTGCCCATTTGTCACGGGGATATTTGGCATGGCATTATTAACCATTCTCGTACTGTCTATGATCAAGTCGATTGACTTGAGAATGGTCCAGGACGGACCGAAACGTCGTCGTCCCTTCACCTTCTAGTGTGTGGTCTAGTCAACATATACATTTGATATTGTATATGGAGTCTGCTTCTATCACATCACTGCCTAATGCATTCCATTTGATATCTACCCTTACGTTGAAAAAGTTCTGTAACCCGTGCTAAGCAGTTTATCATTATCTACCTTGTCAATTCCCTTGAAGATTTTAAAGTTGTGATCATGTCTCCCCTAACTCTTCTGTCTTCGTGTCGCGTGGTTTAGTTCTAGTAATGTTTCCTCGAAGATCATATTCCTCAGCTCTAGGACTAGCCTGGTGGCCTACCTATAAATATTTTCTAACTTCGTGTTGTGTTTGACTAGATGCGGAATCCAGGCTAGAGCCGCATATTCCTGTACTGGTCTGATATACGTGGTGTGTGTTGAGAGGTTTATACCGTGAACACTGGGAGATAGAGCTGTACCCCGTCTGTATGAGGCAGTTAGAACAGCTAAGTTGGGTAGAAACTTGTTTTCGCTACTTGTGCGCTCTGCCACCCGTCAACTTGAAACCTCCTTCCTAACTCGCTCCCACCCAACCTTCCCTCCACACTCACTCCACCTGGACTTCTAGGCGTCCACCTGGTAGACAAGAAGATTGGAAGTTACTGAAAGAGAGAAGGAAAATGAAGAGGAAGAGGAGCGAAGAGAAGGAAACAGGGAGAGCCAGAGATGTAGGAAGGATGAAGAAAATGGTAGGAACAGACGGCAAGAGCAACGAAATGGACAACAATGAAGGAAACAGGAGGGAGAGGCAAAGTAGTGTCTACTGTGAATAGGAGAGAAACTGATATAGAACGAAAGGAAAGGAATTGTCGGAAAATCCGACACCATTTAATATATCATACAGATAATAGCTGTATTACCAACAAGTTACCTATAGAAAACGTAACTTGTAGTGGAATTACCGTCTAAAGAAAATGGGATATCATCACCACATACCATTATAAATTCACCAGCTATTCTGCTGGGAATTATTCTTAAATACATTAGTCTTTGGACTTTACCATCATAAAAACATCTTATATAAATTAACTTAATTATCAATATTAAAGTAGAGTAAATGTGACCCTTCTATCACTTTCTGACATGTGGACAATGTAAGCCAGGCGTCAGAGTGAGGAAGGAGGGCAGCCATTGTTGTGTCACCTCCGAGACGTGTGGAGCAAATTCGGCTCCTATCATATCTGGACAATGTCGGCCAGTAACGTCAATAGTATGGAGTGTTAAACAGCCATTGTTTATACTAGACCAGAGGCTCACAGGAGCAAATACGGCTCCTGTTAATTTTACTTGGACGTAGTGTTATGGAAACTAAAGGTACCATCTCCAACACGATGTCTACAATTCAAGTTAAGTGTTCTTTCCGAAACCCATGTATCTTTCATTTATCGCCATTAATGTCATTATATAGGGTGATCCGGTTAGAGCACGTGGAAGCCTCAAACTAAAGGTAATTAAGCCAGGTCTTTATTGTTCCATGTACTGTATAGTGTTTTCTCTGATATAGCTTGTCATATATAGGATTCTGGCTTCACAGCTAGCGCACTTTTGACAGGTCAAGACGAGGAAGAGTTTGTGCACCAGTTACTGGGTGATGGAAGCTACCTCAAAGAGGATAATTTGGTGTCTACACCCTAGTTATACCTGGTGGACTAACCTGCTGTACTATAAGATAAGAAACCTTTTCAATGTATGTAGTTAATTCTGTAGTTTGATTGGCTGCATATAAATTCATTTAATAAACCCCCCCTAATGTGTAGAGGATCGATTTGTGAGATTCAGAGATTATTGCAGAAATACAGTCCACTCATTATCATACAAATCGCTATCGAAGTATATAAATTAACGCAAATATAAATTCATATAAATTAAATAAATATAAATCTCACAGGTCGGTTCCCACAGGAATTATCAAGGGGAAAGCGCCAAGCCATTAAGACTATATAGTACTAGGGTATGGGAACGAGTTCTTAAAGTGTGTGGCTGTAGAGATGGATGTTGTGGGTCGTGTTGTGGGGTCATATCCCCTACCAACACTCCAACACTCCCTCCTCCCCCGCTCCCATACAATACTCAAGTGCTCCCATATCCCCCCCCTCCCTCACGCCTTCAGGAATACACCCCGCCCCTCACCGAACCGCCTCAGCCCGCCCCTTACCGAGCCCCCTCAGCCCGCCCCTCACCGAGCCCCCTCAGCCCGGCTCTCACCGCCCACAATATCTGAGGAGGAAGAAGTCAGCGGAGCGCGACACCTCCAGCTGCGGCCTGAAGGTAAACAACCTCCTGCAGGTGTGGCGCCCGAGGGCGTCCAGCCTCATGCTCAGGGGGGGGGGGCCGTGGACATGGTGCCCCTGAGGGCAGAGTGGGGCCGTGGGCGTGGTGCCCCTGAGGGCAGAGTGGGGCTGTGGGCGTGGTGCCCCTGAGGGCAGAGTGGGGCTGTTGGCGTGGTGCCCCTGAGGGCTGATTGGAGCTGTTGGCGTGGTGCCCCTGAGGGCTGATTGGAGCTGTGGGCGTGGTGCCCCTGAGGGCAGAGTGGGGCTGTGGGCGTGGTGCCCCTGAGGGCAGAGTGGGGCTGTGGGCGTGGTGCCCCTGAGGGCAGAGTGGGGCTGTGGGCGTGGTGCCCCTGAGGGCAGAGTGGGGCTGTGGGCGTGGTGCCCCTGAGGGCAGAGTGGGGCTGTGGGCGTGGTGCCCCTGAGGGCAGAGTGGGGCTGTGGGCGTGGTGCCCCTGAGGGCAGAGTGGGGCTGTTGGCGTGGTGCCCCTGAGGGCAGAGTGGGGCTGTTGGCGTGGTGCCCCTGAGGGCTGATTGGAGCTGTTGGCGTGGTGCCCCTGAGGGCTGATTGGAGCTGTGGGCGTGGTGCCCCTGAGGGCAGAGTGGGGCTGTGGGCGTGGTGCCCCTGAGGGCAGAGTGGGGCTGTGGGCGTGGTGCCCCTGAGGGCAGAGTGGGGCTGTGGGCGTGGTGCCCCTGAGGGCAGAGTGGGGCTGTGGGCGTGGTGCCCCTGAGGGCAGAGAGGGGCTGTGGGCGTGGTGCCCCTGAGGGCTGAGTGGGGCTGTGGGCGTGGTGCCCCTGAGGGCTGAGTGGGGCTGTGGGCGTGGTGCCCCTGAGGGCTGAGTGGGGCTGTGGGCGTGGTGCCCCTGAGGGCTGAGTGGGGCTGTGGGCGTGGTGCCCCTGAGGGCTGAGTGGGGCTGTGGGCGTGGTGCCCCTGAGGGCTGAGTGCAGCTTCGGGCGTGGTGCCCCTGAAGGCTGAGTGGGGCTGTGGGCGTGGTGCCTCTGAGGGCTGAGTGGGGCGAGAAGTCCTGGAGGCGTGGTAGAGTACGGACGGGTGGGTGAAGCCGGGCTATCTTATCCCGAGATGATCTCGGGGCTTAGTGTCACCGCGGCCCGATCCTCGACCAGGCCTCCACCCCCAGGAAGCAACCCGTAGCAGCTGTCTAACTCCCAGGCACCTATTTACTGCTAGGTAACAAGGGCATCAGGGTAAAATAAAAAATTTGCCTATTTCTCTCCGCCTCTACCGGGATCGAACCCGGAACCTCAGGACTACGAATCCGAAGCGCTGTCCACCCAGCTGTCAGGTGCCAATACTCATAGCTGGCAATACTTATAGTAGATAGCATGAAGTGGTCCATCTTGGAAGGAGAGGTGGTCAATACTGCATGTAGTGTAGAGAAGGGCGAGTATTATTGTCTAATTGTTCAAAGCTTCGTGTTGATGTTTGGCATCCTGTTGATATTTAGCGCCCTCTGATTATTCCGCACATTTGATGGTGCTACACAGCCTCCCCGGTTTGGTGCCTTCTTTTGATAACTACCTTACCTTCTTTTGATAATTACTTCGTGTTGATGTCTGGAAGAGGCATAAATCCCGGTTAAGGGCAAGCCAATGATGTAGGGACCTGGTCAAGTTAGCCAGGGACCGGCGGCCAGGTTAGCCAGGGACCCGCGGCCGGGTTAGCCAGGGGACCCAGATAGCAGGTCAGTCTGTCTATAGTTGGTTAATATGGTTTGAATGCTAAATACTGGTTTTTATGGTTGATTGCTTTAGCTTGTGCCCAATACCCATAAAGTGGACGGTGGTGGAAAGGGTTAGACACACATAATGAGTTCAGGAACTGAACCCCAGAGTTCGTTTAGCTAAGCAAGTGACAATATTGTGAAGCTAGTTATACAATTATTATTAGATATGAGGCCTAAGCTTCGAGGGGGCTCTGAGACCAGACCTGACTACCTCAGGGACCCAGGGATCTAGGGACCATCCCTGGCTACTCAGGGACCTAGAAGCCAGTGCAGGCTACCAAGCAGAGTAATACTTATTTACAGTTTCTGGTGAACGGGTCTTGAGGTGGAAATGATTGGAAGGTAAAAGGTGGGCGGAGCCCTTCAGTTAGGCGCTAGGTAGGCGGGAGGGGCTCTCTTGGTGAGGGGTGAGGTGGGTGGGTATGAAGGCGAGGTGGTAGTAAAGGCTAATTTAACAAATCATTAAATTGATGGAATTGATAGGAAAGTGGAGACAGGTGCTTGTAGTTACATGGTACTGGGAGCCCCAGGGCTATACGGTACAGTGAGCGAGCTCGGGGCTATACGGTACAGTGAGTGAGTTCCGGGCTGTACGGTACAGTGAGTGAGCCCCAGGGCTATACGGTACAGTGAGCGAGCTCCGGGCTATACGGTAAAGTGATAGCACAGGGCCGGGAGGCCTGGAGGTGAAGGTACGTGTACCTGGGATATGAGAATGAGTACCTGGGGGACAGTACCTCGAGGACAGCTTGGGAGTACCTGGGTGGGAGGGTTCAGACACACACAGACGTGAGTGACACTCATTATAACAAGAACCTTCCTCATAATTCTTGTGACAACAAACGTCTATGTAACTAACTCGCCACAAATGAGCATTGCTCAGCTTAAACATTGTTGTGGTAAAGTTCTTGAACCAACTGTGCTATAAAAGACTTGATATATGCAAACAAATTCTGTAATTAATTGAACCATGTTGAAAGACGGTTAGCTAAATGGATGTTCGGGTTCGGTTCCTAAACATCTTTCGGTTCGATTATACTTGCCGGTGTCACTTGTGGTGTGGAGTTCAGTCCGTCTATGACTGACGTTTCGGTTCGGCTTGGACTTTTTCACGTTTCGGGTCATCCTCATCTGTTGAATCTGAACGAGTTTTTGACCGTGTTGGTGATCATTTAACATGATCAGTTAATATAAACTTAAGACATTTTTTTTTTAATATCGCTTCGTCGTATCCTCTTGCCCCCAAACATTTTCTATAAACATTCGTACATGAATTGTGACAAACACCACAAGTAAGACAGATTCAAATGACTTAGTCCTGCAACAGCACACGAAAGAACGAAAAAAAACGAAAACACAAGGAATTGACGAAATCTAGCGTCTTGTTAAGTTTCTTAAGCAGCTGCCACGAGCCAAAGGTGGTCTGTGATTGGCTGGCTTACCCCCTCGCGCACTTCTGGATAGGTCTTCGAAACCAGTGACACGACGCTGGCTTAAACGTCGCGGAGTGTTTTATATAATAACGTATTCGAAAACTAACGTTTCTGTGGTGGGTTTGACACCGATTGAGAAATACAAAAGCCATCCATGGAAGTGAGGATATTATTGCTGCTATATTTCGAAATTGGCTGCGACTTTGAGGTAGCCGTTGGGGTTGATGTGGACAAGGCGAGGATGACACGTCGTCAGCCTTTTGTGTAGGGGGAGAGGAAAGAACCAGCCCGTGGCTTCCCTGGCTAATTACACTCCCCAGCAATCTTCCCCAGGACGCCATTCTTTTGATATATACTTTGGCAGGACGGTGGTCCACACTACCTCCCCAGGACGCCAGGGTCTTAGAAGGCGTATTCTTTCAGAAGCAAAATATGCAGATGCTGACAATGCTTTACTGTAGATGCTACTAAACGCATGCTAACGAAGGCAGGTAACGCTGATGGTCAATGAGAGAAGCTAGATGCTAGTCCCCTTGTAGGGATATATGTCCCAGGGGAACATATTTGTGATGTACACACGAGGCAATGTGTGTCGTGTTGTCATGATATTGCCTTGCGTTCCATGTCGGTGTCGTTATGTCGTGTCGTTGGTGTGATTTCGTTGTCTTGTCGTCGTCGTCGTCGTCGTCGTCTTGTGGTTGTCTTGATTGTATTTTTTCGTGATTGTTTTATCATTGTGGTAAGTTTCATTGTGTTGTCATTTTGTTGTGTTGATGTATCAACGTCGTGTTGTCGTTTCGTTGCCTTGTTTCATCGAGTTCTGGTTGTCGTGTTTTGTTGTCGTTATTTTCTTGTGTTGTCGTTGTGTTGCCTTGTGTCGTTTTGTCTTGGTGTTGTGTTTCTGTCGTCGTTATTTCTTGCCGTTGAAGTGTCTTGTCGAGCTTTCATTGCTTGTTGAATTGTCTTGTCGGTGAATTGTCGTGGTTTGTCGTTGAGCTGACATGTAATTACGTTGTCTGGTCGGTGAGTTGTAGTGTCTTGTAGGTTATTTGTTTTGACTTGTCGTTGAGCTGTCATTCCTTGTTGAGATGTCGTGTTGTTGAGTTAACGACAAGCGACGACGTTGTGTTGGTGCGTTGGCTTGTCATTTTGTTGTCTTGTCGTTTAGCTGTCGTGGTTTGTTGTAGAGTTTACTTGTCATTTCGTTCACACTACGTCTTGCCATTTCGATGTCTTGCCGTTTACTTGTCGTTGAGCTGTCGTTTCTCGTCCTTAAGTTGTCACCGCTTGTCGTTGTGTTAGTGAGTTTGCTTGTCATTTCGTTGCCTTGTCGTGACTTGTCGACTTGGCTTGTCATTCCGGTAACACAACTCCTTCCCTGTCTTGCTATTTCGCGGTCTTGTCGTTTAGTTGTCGTGTCTTGTAGAGCTGTCGTCGAATTGTAGTAGCTTGTCGTTGAGTTGGTTTGTCATTTCATTAACACGACTCACTGTATTGTCATTTCGCTATCTTGTCGTTTAGGTGGCATTGAGCTGTCATTTTTTTGTCGTTGCGTTGTCGTCGCTTGTTGTTGAGTTGGCTTGTAATTTCGTTAACACATCTCACTTTTGCCTTTTCGCTGTATTATCGTTGAGCTGTAGTCGAGTTGTCGTTGAGCTGCCGTCGCTTGTCGTCGTTGGCCTGTAATTTCGTTAAAACAACTCACTTTTGCTGTATAATCGTTGAGCTGTCGTCGCTTGTCGTTGAGCTGTCGTCGCTTGTCGTTGAGCTGTCGTCGAGTTGTCGTCGTTGGCCTGTTATTTCGTTAACACAACTCACTTTTGCATTTTCGCTGTATAATCGTTGAGCTGTCGTCGAGTTGTCGTTAAGCTGTCGTCGCTTGTCGTAGAGTTGTCGTTGAGCTGTCGTCGCTTGTCGTCGAGCTGTCGTCGTTGGCCTGTAATTTCGTTAACACAACTCACTTTTGCATTTTTGCTGTACAATCGGTGAGCTGTCGTCGAGTTGTCGTCGTTGGCCTGTAATTTCGTTAACACGACTCACTTTTGCATTTTTGCTGTACAATCGTTGAGTTGTAGTCGCTTGTCGTTGAGTTGTCGTTGAGCTGTCGTCGAGTTGTCGTCGCTTGTCGTTGAGCTGTCGTCGTTGGCCTGTTATTTCGTTAACACAACTCACTTTTGCATTTTCGCTGTATAATCGTTGAGCTGTCGTTGAGCTGTCGTCGCTTGTCGTCGAGTTGTCGTTGAGCTGTCGTCGTTGGCCTGTAATTTCGTTAACACAACTCACTTTTGCATTTTTGCTGTATAATCGGTGAGCTGTCGTCGAGTTGTCGCCGCTTGTCGTTGAGCTGTCGTCGCTTGTCGTTGAGCTGTCGTCGCTTGTCGTTGAGCTGTCGTCGTTGGCCTGAAATTTCGTTAACACGACTCACTTTTGCTGTACAATCGTTGAGCTGTCGTCGAGTTGTCGTCGTTTGTCGTTGAGTTGTCGTCGCTTGTCGTTGAGCTGTCGTCGTTGGCCTATTATTTCGTTAACACAACTCACTTTTGCATTTTCGCTGTATAATCGTTGGGCTGTCGTCGAGTTGTCGTTGAACTGTCGTCGAGTTGTCGTCGCTTGTCGTTGAGCTGTCGTCGTTGGCCTGTAATTTCGTTAACACAACTCACTTTTGCATTTTCGCTGTGTAATCGTTGAGCTGTCGTCGAGTTGTCGTCGAGTTGTCGTTGAGCTGTCGCCGTGTTGTCGTTGAGCTGTCGTCGCACTGTCGCCGTTGGCCTGTAATTTCGTTAACACAACTCACTTTTGCATTTTTTGCTGTATAATCGTTGAGCTGTCGTAGAGTTGTCGTTGAGCTGTCGACGAGTTGTCGTTGCTTGTCGTTGAGCTGTCGTCGAGTTGTCGTCGCTGGCCTGTAATTTCGTTAACGCAATTCACTTTTTGAATTTTCGCTGTATAATCGTGGAGCTGGCTGGTAATTTCATTGAAAACTCACTTTTGCCTTTTACTTGTATCATCGTTGAGCTGTCGTTTAGTTGGCTTGTGACTGCGTTAACAACTCAGTTTTGTTTTTTCGCTGTATTATCGATGAACTGTCGTGTGTTGTCGTCGCAGTCGACCTGTAATTTCGTTAACAACTGTCTTGTCATTTAGTTGTCGTTGACCTGTCGCTTGTCGAATTGGCTTCTCATTTCGCTTACATCTAACTTATTTCGTTGTGTTGTCCCCCGTCGTTGAGGCGAGTTTTGTCATTTCTTTATCTTGAGGTGTCGTGGCCTGGGAGTTTTCTCGTTTTTTTCCGGCAAGTTGTCCTGGCTTCTCGTTGAGCTGTCGTGTGGTCGAGTCATGGTCGTGTGTCGTAGTCGTAAAGAGTTGAAATGTCTTGTGTCTTTGGTTTGTATTGTGTAAAGACACGACACCACGTGTAGTGTCTGGTTTCGTCGTAGTCGTGGCGTAATGTCTCGTGATGCGATCTTTTGTTTCATTGTTTATGTCTTCGTTTCCTGTTTGACGTGTCCCCTTGAAAGCAAACTTTGATATTTTTCTAACTTTATTTTCTTTATTAAATATACATTATAAATATATTTACAGAGGAAAATATTACATTTATGTAATTCTCAGTAAACCCTATATTATTAAACCTGTAAAACACCGTTATACTTTATCCATCCTCCCAAGAATTTCCAAATTTTGTCTAACCTTCCTGTCTGGCCAGTCACAATGTATCTAGTACTATAATTATTGTATGCTTATTTTTCCTACATTGTATGTCAACATGAAACATTCAATAACTCATTAAAATAAAACCAACATTAGTGACTTTAATTTTTCCTAACTCGACAATCGTCTCATTTCAGTCATCTCTTCTAATCAATTCTTTGTATCGCATTAACTAACTACATTTTTTTATCTTTATTTTCAAAATTACATACAAGGTATGTTATCTTGCTCCCTGGGGGTTAGCAAACACTTCCTCAGGAAGTTTCATTCTCTAAAGCCGCCAATGCGCGACACTTCCACCTTTAGCGGTCCGCAGTACCAGATGGTGATACACTGCTCCTTGCCTTCCTGACCCGCCCTCTGTCAAGTCCAGTTTGGGCTCTATTCGTTGTACACTTCCAGCCACGGTGTGTCTTCACAAGTAGTAGCCCATCACGAAACTTCTGCCACACGTCTGACGGCGATTCCATCCATTACGTCACATTCACCTCTGTAACAATATTTGCAATTTAATATGTTACCAGGAAGTAATTATCAATAGAAGGCACCAAACCGGGAAGGCTATGTAGCACCATCAAATGTGCGGGATAATCAGAGGGCGCTAAATATCACCAAGGATGCCAATACGAGAACAGAAACGCATAAGGCGAACGATATCAAAAGTATCAGAGTCGCCAAGAATTCTATCGAGGGACAAGCGACCGCGGGAAGACGGTCGGAAAACAAGACACGCTCGTCCTGGAATTCAGGACATTCAACAAGGATATGCTCGACCGTAAGAGGGACAATGCAATGTGGACAATAAGGAGCAGGGCTGCGCTCCATTAAGTGACCGTGAGTTAAACAGGTATGGCCCATACCAAAGCCGTAGCCAGAGCCGTTTCCCACCACCGGTTATGGTGGCAGGAGGAAGGCCACTGGGACACACATCTCTTAAGAGTATGCAGTTTGATACCAACAACAGAAGACCAACAACTCTGCCAGCGGGCAAGGATGGAGGCATGAATAACTGGGTAAAAGTCGGAATAAAGAATACCTTTACTGGAGATGGGACAAGCGCGGATAGCTTCCTTAGCGGCAGCATCCGCACGTTCATTTAAAGACACCAACATGGCTGGGAACCCAGCAAAATGCAACCGACTTAAATTTACTGGAGATAAGAAACAGCCAATGTTGAATCTCGACAACCACTGGGTGGACCGGATTAAAGGACCCTAACACCATGAGGGTACTACGAGAGGGTACTACTACCACCACCACAAAGGAGGATTGACACCGGGAAAGCAGGAGACGAAGAGCATAGAGAACAGCATAAAGTTCTGCTGTGAAGATGCTAGCCTCCAGAGGAAGGCGACACAAGTGTGGTCCGGAAAAAACAACAGAGTAGCCCACACCGTCAACAGACTTAGACCCATCGGTGAAGATGGGAACGGAGTGGGAGTGAGAAGAAAAGTGCTCAAGGAAGAGGTGTTCCAGAACAGTAGGAGGGGTAGAAGCTTTAGTGATGCGGGTCCAAGAAGTACAAAATTTGGGAGAGGGGACACTCCACGGGGGCAAGGATGGAACAATACGAGGAGAAACATTGGTAATATGAGCTGAAAGAGAATCCCGTAAGCGAGACAATCGGACAGAAAGAGGAAGGCGGTGAAGAGGAACAGGAACTACAGGAGGGGTAAAAGTCAAAGCACGATAAAGGCGAGAGGGAGGATGCTGTAAGGATCGTGCAAGATAGCGAAGACTGTAGCGATAACGGCGGTCCTAGAGAGACAAAGCCAGTGTCAGCATAGAAGCTGAGGGTTGAACGAAAAGCACCAGAGTTGAGGCGCAACCCAGTATGGTGCAAAGGATCAAGACGGCGAAGAGTAGAAGGAGAAGCAGAAGAGTAGGCTGGGCAACCATAATCGAGTTTAGACAGGACGAGAGAGGAGTGCAAATAGAGGAGCGTGCGCCTATCCGCTCCCTAAGAAGTATGGGACAAAACCTTAAGTAGGTTAAGGGCCTTAGAGCATTCAACACGGAGGTAAGAGACATGGGGCCACCAAGACAAACGAGTGTCAAAAGAATAACCCCAAAAGCTTCGCAGAATCTTTGTACTCAAGGGATGACCATAAAGTGACCAAGAGTGACGAAGAACGACCCGCTTCCGAGTAAAAGTCATGGCACAAGTCTTGGTACTAGAGACCTTTAAGCCATGATTGGTGGCCCAAGATGACATGGCATCAATCTCTAGATAAAGCCGCTGTTGAAGGAGAGGCGAATCACCACCCCGACAGCAAAGAGTAAGATCGTCAACATAAAGAGCAGGGAAGATGCCAGAAGGAAGGGAGGAAAGAAGACCATTGAGGGCAACCAGAAAAAGAGTAGTACTCAGAACACTACCTTGGGACACACCTTCATACTGCCGAAAAGAGGCAGAGTGGGTCACCAAGCCTGACTCGAAAGGTACGACGAGAGAGAAATCTTTGAAGGAAGAGAGGGAGATTACCACGAAGGCCAAAAGAACAAAATTGGGACAGAATATGGTATCTCCAAGTCGTGTCATAAGCCTTTTCCAGGTTAAAAAGGACAGCAACAACGGAGGTCTTCGCAGCAAAAGCAGTACGAATATAGACCTCCAAGTTCACCGGGACATCAGTCGTGCTGTGGGACTTGCGAAAACCAAATTGAGAGGGAAAGAGGTGGTGATGGTGTTCCAAGAACCACATCAGATGGACATTTACCATACACTCAAAGAGCTTGCAAATACAACTCGTGAGAGCAATAGGGCGGAAGTCCTTAGGGGACGTACCAAGAGATCCTGGTTTCCGAATAGGGAGTACAATGGCATCGAGCCAGTCCTCAGGGACGGACGACGACTCCCAGACCTAGTTATACAGACGCAGTAGGTATTGAGACGTGCACGGAGGGAGATGGCGAACCATCTCATAATGAACGTCATCCGAGCCCGCCGCCGTAGATCCGCAGAGGGCCCGGGCAGACTGAAATCCAGAAAGAGAAAGGATCGTTATAGGAAAGGCGGAGACGAGTGCGGAAATCTAAAGGATAAGATTCAAGAACAGGCTTACGAAGAAGGAAGGATTGAGGAAAATGAGAACCAGATTTTACCATGAAAATGCTATACATTAAGTATAAACCTAAGCATATTGTCCTGTTGTGCTACCCATTTCACTTGCCTTCCTCCTATCTCTATAGCATTTTATCAAATTCTTCACACGTCCAGGGAATAACTTACCAGGACCGACCCAAACTTCGTAGTTTCTGCATCTTTTGCAAGTGTCGCTTCATACTACAATTATTCTATGCGTATTTTATTATCCATAACATCAATAGAACATTTGGTACTATTTTATTTGGAACAGTAAGTTTTTGTGTGATTGGTAATATAACCTAATCATAGGCCTAATGCAGACCAACGCCTTGTACTACATAAATATTACAATGTCTATTACAGCACATGCATGTGATTTACTGCTTATGGCCTCATCGTCCATTACACGATGAGCTTCATTAAGGTATTAGATATAGCTATATTACCAATACAATTCCCTGCAATTTGCTTCTAACATTATCCCCGATAATTTCTACTATATACTTAAAAGCTATAAATTACTATCTCTAACATTTGGTGAATGTTTAATATTTCACCAGCCTGATCAGTCTTTAGATGTTACTAACTGTCGCTGACCCTTAATTCCTACATCATTTCGCACCTCTTCGAATACTTGCTGGTATTACATTATCCCACAAAATACAAAACCGCTGTCTTTGAAAAAAGTACACATATGTACGTCTTTATTCGTTATATCTTGTGCTATATCCGCCCTTACTATTCACCCTAATTACATTCCTGGAGACTACTTTTTTCCCTGTAATGAGTACATACATTTCTAACTATATATATATACGTCTAATACTGCACGTACATCAACAATGATTATATTAACGTCTTACAACACTTTCACTGTTCTCTATTTTGACTAGCGCAAGTGCTTAGATCTAAACTACTTTTTAACTCTGAAAAAATGTGTTCGCTTCCACAGCAATATTCAAGTTCATGTTCTACACTTCTCCCGACACCCGATTGCCATCAAGCCGAGGTGAATCAAGCCAAGGTGAAGTACGCTATGGACTGCGAGATGAGACACTAACCCTCCAGACATGACCCACGTTAACCTTGCCTGGGTCACGTCAAGTCTAGCGACGCCGATTGGTCGTTTCACTTTCCGCCAAGTGTAACAGATGTCCAAGGGCCAAACTTTGCCAACTACAGCCGCCTCGCCAACACACCAATCTGCAAAGAGTTCCAAAATTAACATGTGCTATTTTTTTCAATTTATCCCTGTCGTTTCATTATTCTTATTCCTATCTATATATTTAAATCTTGCTATTTTTTGTGTAACAAAGTTCCAACCTCTAAAAATCTGACTTTTACCTAATATTCTATTATCCTTGGTATTCTAGCTCATTAAATTACTATTAGTTCAACGTTTTTTCTTCCTTTATAATTCCATAACACATGCTATACTTACATAAGTACGACGAAGCTCGCGTTCACCGCGTTCATTCCTCTGCCATACTGTCAACTTGTGTAGATGAAACGCCACTTTCTACCCACAATAATCCAATGATTCTGCGTCAAGCCTCAACCCCAAACTCGCCAAGGCGTCCGTGCAAGTCTCTTCTACCTGTCTGTAGGAAACTGATAATTAATTCCTCTTCCACTTTATTTACAGCAGAAATATACATTACAACTGTATGTACAACACATAAAAAGGTTAATTCACTGTACAAATCAATCCATTGCCGTAACCAGGCAGTAGGTCTTCTATGACGTATCAATAAAGACTATCACAATTTCGCACTATTTCAGTCTACAAATTTCACATAACTTATCAGGCGCCTCAGTCAAGCGCCTAGTACGCAGAACCATCACACTGCATTCCTGAGTGAAGCACTGCTTAGGTCGATTATGATTCTGGACTGCCAGTCATGAAGGGATGTTATCGTCGATAGTGAGTGGAGTACTGCTTATGCCAAAATCTAACGGTGCACTTTTTGTCTTTGTTAGCGACTGATTGGCTGGCTACCAGACTTCCCGCCACCAGACGAGCAGTGCTGGTCCAAACCTCACCCACGGTTGTCCTGGCATCTCCTGCAATAGTTTAATACACTAATTGTAGATTACATTTTTAAGCTTTGTGCGGTGAATTAACACGTTCATTCACGTATCATACCCATACCTTTCCGTAACAATAGACATGTGCCTCAATGTTTGCCGACTATGCTAAAACTAGATTAAGACAGGAGGACATTAAACGCTGCCCTTGACAGACTGAAGGAATGGTCCAACTATTGGCTACTACAGCAACTAGCAAAAGTAAAAAAATCTAAGCCTACGGAGAAGAAGAATGATATACAACCTGTCCTCGGGGAGGAGATCCACTCAATGGAATGTATGGGGAACTACATAGTTAGTACCAATATCTCCTCTCTATCCATGGTTAGGTTAAGGTTTGGTAGTGCATTTGGCTTCGTTAATACAGTAGTATTAATGCGAAAGGATTTTTAAAACTATTTCCTCGTACCCGCGATTTCCGTTTACAGAAAATTCTTAGGAAAAAACTTTTTCCATCACACTTTACAGCAACTATTTATAATACAAACTTTGTTACGGCCTGCTGGAGCCAGTAACCGGGTTCAGTATGGGCCTTATAGTCGCCTCCTATGATCCCAAGCCCTCGACTAAGTTCAAGAATTGGTGGTAGCAAGTAATGCAGGGGTTAAACAAGATGCAAATACACCTTGACTGAAATATTATCAATAGAAGTATAACTACACTTACGTACAGTGTCGCTTTCATCCAGGACACTAAATATACCTGCCAGTGTTCTTCAAATCCCGGCGAGTTCACAATTTTCAAGTACACGTAGTCCACGCTTAATGATAATCACCGGCGAGTTCACCTTCAACCTGGGCCAGTCTTCACACCGTATCGTCACGATGTCCCAATGCCTCACATCTGCTCTACAAAAAAAAACACTAGCAGAGGGATTCGGCAACACACTGACAGGGGTCACAAATAATCACTTCAGGGGTATCTAACAACTCTGGCAGAAGTCTCCAGCAACACTTACCAGCACTTCTCAGCAGACGTACACTACCATCATCTCTTAACGCCTCTTGACCAAATCCTGTGTACGTTGGTCCACACAACACTGCACAACTACACACTGCTTACTACCTACGGCGGCCACTTGTCCTCTCATAGGAGGAAGTCAGGAGTTCGGGACTGCCCGAGGTGAACTAATTTCCACAGCTCAATACTCATCACGTCAAATCTGTGAACATGAAAGTCATTAGCCAAAGTATACTGGGTGAACCTAGGTTGACAACCTTCACTGGGGAACTGTGAAATGTAATTTGATGCGTACTCTAGATGGCATTGATATCGTCACTACTCTCAGAGGTAGTCATTTCACATGACTACCCAACCCAACCACCCAACTACCCAACCTACCCATCCACCTCACCCAACAGGAATGAAACGGGAGTCTTACAGATGCCGCACCTCCGCCAACAGATGGCGTATTCTGCGTCTCATCTAATGCCTTTGAGTCTGAGTGCAGGTCTATAGATGCCGCCGAAATCGCCATTCCACACTCCAACAATGTTGATACTGTAACACCTGTAAATTGAAAATAACCTTTACAACAGATTCATTTGCAAGTTTAAATTTAGACAATTACTGAACTCATATCATGCTTTCAGACCATAAATATCTAATATCCAGGTTTGAAGAGAGAGGGGGGGGGTGGCTTCTAGTTTCTCATGGCAATGTGTGGTTTGAGGGACGGGCAGAGTACTGAAGACGGTACACCAGGTACCATTTGGAGGATTAAAGCCTTCAGGAACTATGCCAAAAGAAATATGGGATGCGAGACATCCCATCTCCGAGTGGGATGTATTTTTATTGTCCTTAAAAACCACCTGTCCCCTTAAAACCCCCATCTGTCCCTCTTAAGCCATGAGGGTTTAAGATAACGTCAGCGACATACGAGGTTGCCCAACAATCTGCTTTTGCACATGTCTAAAGATTCATTTAGAACCTAGTATACTACACACATTAGACTAACCCTAGAGTACACAGCTCCAGCATGGAGTCAGTCGTGTAATTCCCTAGATACGACGTTTGGAGGCGATTCTAAGGTATGCCACCAGACTAGTACCGGACATGAGGTATTGGCTACGAGGTAAGACCAATAGATTTAAATCTCGCCTAACAGTGAAATTAGACATGATCACAACATAAAAATTTCTGGGAACTTAAGAGGTACAGAAGTCATTTAACACTAGAGGTACTAGCACGAAAGGACACTGATGGAAACCTACAAACTAGATGAACGACAATGTCAAGTTAAATTGAATGCACTAAATAACGTAGGGGAGACAGACTCCATGTACCTTTAAAAGATTTAACACACCTATAAACTGTAAACGACTATTGGTGTGTGAGGCGGGACCAGATCGCCGAAGCTCTATTCTCGTGAGGATAATTATAAGAGTACTCAAAAAATTTTGAAGATTGGAACATTCTTCCATCAGACAAGGAGGAAAACCTGGGATCGGAGAATAAATTTGATACCAGAAGCCCACGGTAGCAGGAACAGCTGCATACTCCTATCTTTCAGAAACTGACAAGAGCTTTCCGGGCCCTATACACAGTGAAGGCAAACCCACTGAATATGAGTCTCCAGCAAGTAATTATTAACCAAGAAAGGCAGCCCATACTCTAATGTAGTATTTATAATAACGGCGTGGACCATCGTTCATATCCAACTGCCAATTAGTTCAATTGGTACTACTCAATTTGGACAAACCAGACACTTTCGTTTTACTAGCATTAAAAAATGCAAACCACCATCCTGGTTGTAGTATAGTACATGTACTATACTAGGCCTAGTAGTAATTATTTTTGAAGTTTAGCTCCGCCCCGCCCCATAATCCCCGCCTAATGTGAATAACACCAAATTATATCAAACTCCATATGCATGATGGTGCACATAGTTGATACAAATACTATCTGAACAAGAGGGTCGGTTGGGAGAAGAACCAGTAGAAAATATAAGCGGTCCAAGGGAATGCAAAGCGACTTTCTCCTAGTTAAAAATATCAGTGATTAAACAGAACTGGACTTTGCCACACTGAAGGTGAAAAATCACCATAAATTAAGTCGAGGAAAATTGACAAGGTAAACAAACTTCAAATTCCATAATGAGGAGTCATTCATAGAAATTAAATATGCAAAAATGTCAGTTGTCAAACAGTTTTAGAGCTGTCAATAAGAATAGATTAGACTTAGAAATCGAAGGTAATTCGACAAATTTTTATACGTAAATGACAAAAGCCCGAGAACCTTTTATATTAATCTTAAAAACATTCCGAACGCGGGACTAGGAACATAGCTAAATCCTGCAAGTACACCTAGACGAACACGCCTGCCAATAGTAAAATATGTCCTATACAGAGAGCACCAGCGTGACTGAGCCCAACAAACATAGGTGCTGAAACTAGCTCCCAGGAACCTATTTACTGCTAGGTGATCCAGGGCACGAGATCAGAATAAAACTGGCCATCACGTGGACTTAAGAATTAAAACACCATTTATAACTGGAGGGGAGAGGGGGACACGGAGAGGGGGGGGGGTGAAGAGAGCAAGACGTGTCACTAGGAGATAGGGGGGGAGGGGGGGGGAGGAGTGTGCACCAGGGAGAGGGGGAGGAGGGAGAGCGGGGCGTGTGCACCAGGGAGAATGGGGGGGGGAAGGGAGACCGGGGCGTGTGCACCAGGGATAATGGGGGGGGGAGGAGACCGGGGCTTGTGCACCAGGGAGAGGGGCGTGTGCACCAGGGAGAATGGGGGGGGGGGAGGAGACCGGGGCTTGTGCACCAGGGAGAATGGGGAGGGGGGAGGAGACCGGGGCTTGTGCACCGGGATAATGGGGGGGGGGAGAGAGCGGGGCGTGTGCACCAGGGTGAGGAGAGGGGAAGATTGACCAAGAATGGTAAGCCTACTGATCAAATAGTCATAGTCTGGAAAAAGCCTGACCCGCCACCTGACAAGTATTGGTTTGGTGGGTTGTATGCGCGCCCCAGCACGTTCAGGGTGTGGGAGCCGAACCCTGTGGAGTTTTACGAGTGCTGTGGCAGTGGCCACACAGCTAAGTACTGCTGGTGCCCCACACCCAAGTGTGCTCTCTGTTCCGGTCCTCATGCACTGAAGGACTGTCAGTATAAGACCAGATACCAAAGAAAGCAGGAACAGGAGCAACAGAAGCAGTGCAAGAACCTGAATCTGTGGCTCCGTCTAAACCGCCGCTGAAGTGTCTCAGATGTGGTACGAATGGAGTTACCATCTGGCACTCAGACTACCAAACGGCCAGCCTCCCTTGGCACAAGGAGGCAAGTGCCCGAGACAACAAGTGCCTACTGATGCCGGCTCTAGTACTGTTGACCCATCCCATAGTGGTGACAGTACCAACAACGCCCCTGACAACACACAACAGCCTGATACAACAGTTAAAGGACAGTTGACAACCTTGCAAGCACAGGTAGCAGAACTGGCTGAAATTATACAGAAGCTACATCAGGCTCCTTCACAAGAGATACAGCAGCCTCCACACTGCTGT